CCCACAGCCAGCATCCCCCAGCTCCCTGCAGCCAGCCCCCCACAGCCCGCTTCCCCCGGACCCCCGGGCCGCACTCCGCCCCCCCCCCGCGGGCGGCACCCCGCAGCCCAGCACCCCCCGACCCCACAGCCAGCATCCCCCAGCTCCCTGCAGCCAGCCCCCCACAGCCTGCTTCCCCCGGACCCCCGGGCAGCACTCGGCCCCCCCAGTGCTGCACCCTTGGCACCCCACAACGCTGCAGGTGCTGGCCCTGCCAGGACCCTGCAGCCAGCACCCCCACATCCTGCACCGTGCAGACCCCGTACCTGGTACCCCACAGGGTGCACCCTGCACCCCAAACCTTGCCCTGTGCCCCCTGCAGCCTGTCCTGCACCCCACACGCCCCCCACCTCATGTCCAGCACCCTGCACCCCCCCCAGCCCTGCTGGCCCCGCACCCTGCGCCCCACAAAATGCACACTGCGCCCCTGGTACCCCACAGGGCACACCCCCTTCCGTGCACCTCATAAGGTGCTCGATGCGCCCCAAAACACGCACTGGGCACCCCGTGCTGTGCAAGGGGCACCCCACAGTGAGCATCGCGTGCTGGGGGCTCTGCAGCACACTGTGCACCCATCACCCTGTGCCCCACAGCAGGGGAGCCCGGCCCGTCCCGGGGGAGCCTGGCCAGGGGGAGCCCGGCCCATCCCGGGGGAGCCCGGCCCATCCCGGGTGAGCCCGCTCCATCCCGGGGAGCACACCCCATCCCGGGGGAAGCCTCCCCCCGGCCCGGGGGAGCCTGCTCCATCCCGGGGGAGCCCGGCCCGGGGGAGCCCGCTCCATCCCGGGGGAGCCCGGCCCATCCCGGGGGAGCCTGCTCCATTCCAGGGGAGCCTGCTCTATCCCGGGTGAGCCCGCTCCATCCGGGGGAGCACGCCCCATCCCGGGGGAGCCCGACCCGGCCCGGGGTGGCCCGCTCCATCCCGGGGGAGCCCGGCCCATCCCGGGGGAGCCTGCTCCATTCCAGGGGAGCCCGTTCCATCCCGGGGGAGCCTGCTCTATCCCGGGTGAGCCCGCTCCATCCCGGGGAGCACACCCCACCCCGGGTGAGCCCTCTCCATCCCGGGGAAGCCCGGCCCATCCCGGGAGAACCTGCTCCATCCCGGGGGAGCCCGGCCCGGGGGAGCCCGGCCCGTCCCGAGAGAGCCCGGCCCATCCCGGGGGAGCCTGGTCCGGGGGAGCCCTCTCCATCCCGGGGGAAGGGGCGGGCGGCGGGAGGCGGCCGGGCCGCGGCGGCTCCCCGGCTTTGTTCGGCGGCCGGGGCTGCCGCGGGCTTGGTGCGCACGACAACTATTTTTAGAGCGTTCGGAGACCATGTTGGCTGGAAGCGAATCAAAGCTTGGGCAGCGCCGACCGCGCTCGGCCGCCGCCGCACCGGGCGGCCGGCGGGGGCTCGGCCGCCCCCCGGGGCACTGTGCACCCATCACCCTGTGCCCTGTGCCCACACCGTGCGCCCCACAGCATGGACACTGCACCCCACAGCATGGACACTGTGCACCCATCACCCTGTGCCCCACAGCATGGACACTGCACCCCACAGCATGGACACTGCGCCCCACAGCATGGACACTGTGCACCCATCACCCTGTGCCCACACCCTGCGCCCCACAGCATGGACACCGTGCCCCACAGCTGCACCCCTCTGGGCTCCCCACGCCTCACACCGCGCCCCCTGTGCCCCACACCGCTCCACACGCTGCACCCCATGCTGTGCACCCCTTACCGTGCACCCTGAACCCACATCCCGCAGCCACAGCATGGACACCGTGCCCCACAGCTGCACCCCTCTGGGCTCCCCACGCCTCACACCGCGCCCCCTGTGCCCCACACCGCTCCACACGCTGCACCCCATGCTGTGCACCCCTTACCGTGCACCCTGAACCCACATCCCGCACCCCCCGGGCACCCCGCACCCCTGACCCTCACCGTGCCCCCCCGTTCCCCCGCACCCCTGACCCTCACCGTGCCCCCCCTGTTCCCCCGCACCCC